AACCACGTCTGGGGTCTCCGCATCCCACCCCAGAGTCTCAAAGTCTCAACTGCCAACTTCTCCACAGCTGAAGGGGGGTGGGGGGCAAGGGCCAGCCTGGACCTCCACCATACCCAAGGCCAAAGGGCTGGGCATCTGGGACCCCAAGGTCCCCCTGGGCATTGCTCCGCCTGATCCCCAGAAGTGTGTGTGGGCGTGTGTACATAGAATGTGGATGTGTGTGTGTTGGGGGGGGCGGGGGGTAGGGACACAGCCTGGTCAGGGTGTTACCTCCTGACTTATACACTAAAAGGCTTACTCTGGAACACTTCGGTGACTAGGGCTGACCGTTTTCCTGGGAACACGTCCACCGGTGGGGGGGCAGGTGTGGGGGAGACAGACAGAAGAGGGTCCTCAGCCAGGAGTCAGATAAGACTCCCAAAGCAGGACCCCATGGTGAAGGATACAGACAGAGATGAGCAGGAGACAGCAGGAGGGACCACAGGACAGACCTGCAACCCTGGGGAGAGCAGGGCTGGCATTCTCAGGGTAACCTGGTGACATTAAGCTTTCAAGGCCTGCCCTGGGGGAAAGGGTTGTGGTGGGGGACAGTGGACTCCACAGGGACTCAGCCATCACCCTGGCCCAGGAAAGAGCTGTACTAAAGCCTTCCCTCCCCCATCCCTTCCTCCAGGCCACACATGGACACCCCCAGCATGACAGAAGAGGGGGTCAGAAGCCTAACAGGCCCCCCGGAAGTTTCTTGTGGGGTACCTGTCAGTCTTGCTCACAGCTAGGAGGTGACACGCGAACTCATTTTTTTTGGTTGATTTTTCTTTGTGAAATGGCATTTAAATATATAAAATAAATATCAAAAATATAAATCTTTGTTTTACTATGGTTGCAAATATCAAAAAATTTCTATATGTGACACGGCACCAGAGTTAAGTTAGGGTTTTTCAAAATGCTGACACGCCGAGCTCAAAAGGTTCGCCATCACTGGCCTAGGAGGGTGTGAGCCCAGGTGTCTGGGAAAGCGCACCAGTGCCACCTTCCCCGGGGAGGTGCTGAGGGGAGAGCAACTGTCCCCAAGACCGCAGGCAGCTGAAAATCCCTGGGGCTGTCCCCTCCACACCCCACCCTCCCCAAACAATCCACAGGCAGGGCCAGCAGCAGCTGGGGGAGGAGTCGCAGCAGGGACGTCTTCTACAGAATCAGGGGGCTCAAGAGAGTCTGGAAAAGGATCCCAACCTCGCCTCAGTGGGGGCGACCACTCAGAGGATGGATCTGGGGAAGGGGAATCGGTACGGGGTAGGGCTGCTGGCTTTGGACTAGACCCGGATGCCCCTCTGAGGGACATGCAGTCGTTAGCCATCTTGCAGGACACAGGCGGGAGAGCAGAGGGGAGGAGTCATCCAGGTGCTTTTGTGCTTTTGTAGCCCGCAGTAGGCTCACTTCCCCATTTGGGGCACTGGGGCTGGTCCCCACCTTCACCCCTCCACCCAGCAGTTCCACCTTCAAAGAGCAGGTTGCAGGGGTGGCAGCAGTGCCAGCCAGGGCAGGTCGAACGCAGCTGAAGCCGCTCAGAGCCCAGCTGCCGCACACAGCTCACGGGCGTGGGGACATCCACAGCCCCAGCCACAGCCCTCGCTGCTCACACGGTCCCGCTCCCACAACGTTGGGCAAATGCCTGCAAAGATGCCAGGCCCTGCCACCCTCTCACAGTCCGGGAAAGGGGGAACATTTAGAGACTCAGGGCCAGTGAGGGCCCCAGATATGGCCAGTTGGCTGCCCCGGGCATCCTGACTTGAACGGGTGCTAGGGAGCATGCCATGCCGTGGGTAAGGCCATGGTGGACTTAGCCCTGTGACCGGCTGGGCCGCGGTGAACTAGGGACAGCCAGGAACCAACATGAAGGATCAAGTCACTCCTCAGAATGGTCTCTCCTTCCCCTGCAGGTGCCCTACCCCACCCCACCCCCGCCCCCTTTCCTGGCTTTTAAATCTTTGTTCTCAGCATCTCCTGGGTGTGATACTGCTCCCCACCCCCAACCTGGGATGCCCAATACATCTCTGGAAAGAGTCTACAGACCCAGAAACTCAAGCTCAGACTTTCGGCTCTAGTTGGGCCGCAGCTAACATGTTTTCCCATCATCTCGTTCACCCACCACCCCAGTTTGAAGCTATGACTACTCCCACTTATTTAAAATGATGGTCATGCCCTAACTCAGCTGTGGGCAAACTATGGCCCGCGGGCCGGATCCAGCCCGTTTGAAATGAATAAAACTAAAAAAAAAAAAGACCGTACCCTTTTATGTAATGATGTTTACTTTGAATTTATATTAGTTCACACAAACACTCCATCCATGCTTTTGTTCCGGCCCTCCGGTCCAGTTTAAGAACCCATTGTGGCCCTCGAGTCAAAAAGTTTGCCCACCCCTGAATTAGCTCAAAGAAATTTGTATTGAGGAAAATATAGCTCTTAATAAGCTCTTAAGACATGTGTCTTAGAAGTGGTCAAAGTCATAGACCCAGATCCTATTGCCAGACGTAATTTAACTCTGATTATTCAGGAAAAGGACTGAAAGCTTATAGAAAATGTCTAGCAGAAGAAGAGTGATTTTTACAGACCCATCCAAGCAGCATTCAGTCTTCTTCAGTCCAAGGAGCTACTGGACATTGTAGCATCCCATGCATAAAAAAAAAATAAAATCATATAAAATGGTCATTTGCAGTCCCTCCCTTGTCCCTCTCCTCCCTCCTGGAGGGCCCAGGCTGCCCCAGCTCACTTCCTAACCAGACTGGCATCTTTGGCATAAAGGGGGGCTCTTGGTGCCGGAGGTGAGGAGGCACAGCTCCCACAGTCACCCTCCCCCAGTGTGTGAGTGTCGGAGACCTGACGTTCCGGAAGCATCAATGGGCGAAGGCGATCCACCCAGCCCCCCTCCCTCCCTGGGAGGCCAGCTCCTCACTCCCATATCATTTGCCCAATGCCTGGCCATCTGGGCCACCTTTATCAGGGAGCCTGGGTGGTGGGTGGTTATCACCCCCTGCAATGTTGGGGGGCCCTCCCTCACCCCCCAGCTGGGACACAGGCACCTGAAGCCAGTTCTAGCTGCTCTCTGCACCCCTGCCTATTGGAGAAGGAGGCTAGGCGGGGAGGGCAGTTCCTGGGCAACCATGCCCTGCTCAGGCCTAGCAATGTCCCCCTGCCTAACCCCAGATAAGCCACCAGCCTCCTGAGCCCCACCTGACCTTAAGAGAGCTCCAGCTCTGCCTGGGGGGCATGGCTACTACCCCCTCCAGGCCTCAGTTTCCCCATCTGCCTCTCCTCCTGGGGGCCTCTTCGGTAAACTATAATTATCACCACCACCCCGCCGCCTTGGGCTGTTGGATCGGAAAAATGGGGGTCACCCTAGCCCCTGTCCCCCACATCCTGAGGCTTCCCCCTCCTACCCAATTCATAAATCAGCCCCCCACCCCACCCCCATATAGTGGCCCGGCTCCTCAACCTCTAATCCCTTCTCCATAAACGGATTTTCCTCTGCAAAGCCCAGCTCCCCCAGCCTGTCCCGCACCCTGCCCTTCGGATTAAATGAAGCCCTTAGGCTGCTGTTCCCCCTCCATACCTCACACCACCACCTCCTCAAAATCCACACCCTCGGGCCCCTTCCCCCACCCCTGCAATCAGGGTGCTGTCCCCTCTCCTGGGACACACCCCTCCCTGCCCCACCTGATCCCAGGGCTTCAGGTTCCTACTGAGAAGCCTCTTCTTCCAAGGAAGCCTTTTCCTCCATCAACCCCCACGGTTCCAGGTCCCAGGGGGCAGGACTGCGCTCCCCAGAACCTTGCTCAGAGTAGGTGCTCAGCTACCATTCCTCAGACTAAGGTAGACAGGGTTTTAGAGTCAAGCAGGGGGGTCTGAACCTCGCCCCCGCCCCCCCATGGGACACGGGGCAATGTCTGGGAACATCTACGACTGTCATAACTGGGGAGAGCTCCTGGCACCGGTGGGTGGAGGCTCAGGTGAACTAAGCCCCCTCGAGGCACACATGGCTGCCTGCCTGCTGGGCACTGGGGGCGCAGGCAGGGGAGCCCTCGGAGATGAGGGAGGCTGGGAGAGCATAGACAGCCAGCCTCTCCTCCC